TTTATTTAAACATTCACAACTTTACTTTAAGTGTTACATTGGGCAGTAATGAGAGATCAAAGTGTTTTATTTAAACATTCACAACTTTACTTTAAGTGTTACATTGGGCAGTAATGAGAGATCAAAGTGTTTTATTTAAACATTCACAACTTTACTTTAAGTGTTAATGGGCAGTAATAAGAGACCAAAGTGTTTTATTTAAACATTCTCAAGTTTACTGTAAGTGTTAATGGGCAGTAATGAGACCAAAGTGTTCTACCTAAAGGTTCTAGAGTTTACTCTGTTTTAATATTTGTCTAGTATGTTAACTCAAGCATAAAGTCTGAAATTATGTAGTAACATCTATCAGAAGAGCTGCTACAATTCTACAATAACAGTTACAATTAATAATAATAAAGACTCTTAACTATGAATAACAGGGAAACTATACAAATAATGTTATGACCAATCTTCCCTGGGTCATCAGTTGGTTACCCTGCTGCTTGTAGTGTTTTCAGCTCTTAACAGACTAGTGGATAAAGAATACAAATGTATATCTTGTTCATACAGAGCTGCTAGAGTTACTATTATTTAAAAATGAAAGTACAACTAATCAGAGTTCACTTCTGTGTTGTGTTCTGTTTACATTTAGGTGGTGTCATTTACACCTATTAAGGCATAAATTGCAAAAGATGAAAATATTGGAAGCCAATAGGTCTAAAATTTGTGTTAACCATGAGCACATTAGGAGTATGGAAAAACAACCCTGCAGTTTATGTGATTTATATTATTATTCCCTCCAATGAGCAATCACTTGGGAACAGAATTTCTAACCACACTCTTAGCAAAACTGCACCGTAGAGGTCGGGCGGTGTTAGTCTAGATGGCTGGCCCATGTGCTAATTGCTTTGCTAACCAATCAATCAAGTTGAAGCTGTGATCTCACTATCCTCATTTCCTGATACTTAAGACTTAGCTAAATGTGGATCACAAAACCAGCACACAGACAAGTGAAACAATCTTGTTAATCACAATTATAGTAACCTTCAGAATCCTGTAACAAATAATCAGGCTCATTTATGCTCAGATGAGATGGGTAAAAAAATTTAAAATCTTATAACATTAAATATTGGATTTAGATACCTACATTGGGCAGAGCTCAGGTAGCCTGTTGTGTAGTCTTGAAGTTAACAACAAACAAACATAATGGTGCTATTTCAATTACTAACCCTAATTCTGATTTGTTGTGTATTTTTTTTTATGAGTCATGTTACTAATTAATTCAGCTAAACAAACTCAAAATAATCAAAAATAATAAGGAAAAATCATAATGCAATATTTCAATTACTGGATAGGTGATATAACCAAAAACAGCAATAATCAGTGTTAGATATACACAACTGTTTCAGTTTAAAAATAATGTGAGTGTTATGATTTAGATGGTTTAAGTATAGTGCAAGTGTTAAATTTAGTTATTCCTGGAGCCAATAGTTTATTGCAGGTTTATCAAATAACTGTTTTCAGATCATATGTTGTGTAGTTCCATTGTTGTAAATTGGTGATTGTTATATTACTGCATCATGTTACTATAACCTTCTAAGGTTTTCTCATTGTTTTGATTGAGTATTATTGCATCATAATATCTCATGGGAGGTGGAACATTCATGGCCTCTGTTGGGCTATAAATACATATTAAAAATGTAGTTATGTAGATAGATATATAAATATAGACCAAATGTTTGAGAGTTTAGCCATAAAGAGTGTATACGTTTAAAATAATTAATTTTCATCATTACATTCATTTTGTAACTTCCATATAAATACAAAGGGTCTTTTTGTGGTAATGTATAGTTACAGCTGTGTACACACACACACACACACACACACACAACAATTTAATGCCCTACTAACCTTCTGGTACTACACTAAGTTTTTTTATCATTTAAACATTCACTTTGTGAATCATATCACAGTGGTTTTAAAATATCAATTTTAAACTCGTGTTTTAGATAAGGAGTTTTGATAATTACAAAAGTAAATCAACACTTGAAGTTGGTGGAAATCCAAATAATAAGAGTAAAATCTTGATCTACTGACTATTGGTTCAATTTGTTGCAATGATGGCTGTTTTGCCTCCAGTGACTTAGTAGTAAGTCTGAAAGCTTATGATGCCAAGAACCTGGCTTCAATACCCCATTTTGTAGTTTTGTGCTTAACAATAAACAAACACTGATGAGTTATGTAATGTTGAAGTAATATAGAAAGCTCCTGTGGTCAACATATCAAAAATCTGATAATTGATGTACATGGAATGATGAACGAAACACAGTATTAATATAACAAAGTCATTTCGAAGTATCAATTGATAACCGCAACTAAACTTTGCAAAATAATAATATACTGCTTTAAAGTTTTATTTTTAGTGTTACACTGCCATCAGATGGCATCACTGAACTTTAGTTATACACTCCAATCCTCTTCATCGGTTGAAATGTAACTCGCCTTAACACTTGAAGTTAAAATAAGTATTTATTTCTCTTTTGGTTGGAGAACTAATAAGAATGATACAAGTAAAGAGTTACTGTAGAATAGCCTAAAAACAAGTAAAGTGAACATATAATATACCAATTCAACTTCATAGTATAGTTATTCAGTTACTAGTACTTACGTACAACTTCCATCGGTTAAAGCGCCATCTTTGCTGGCCTCAGTAGTATTGATACTGGAGGAGATTGTAATTTGCGAAACTACACATTTCAGTAATTAAAACTCTACTGACTTGATGTGCAAAGTTATTAAATATAAGCAACACACCGTTTGTTAAAAGTCAAAATGATTTTAAAATAATATCTTTTATGTTGTCACGGCTTGGAGTTTAGAAAGCCGAAACACGAAAAATATATTTTTATCATTTATCCAATGTACAATTTAGAAATGACTGTTCATCATTTCATATAATTTTATTTTTCAACGGTAATACTACTACTAAAAATATTGATTAGTGTTTTTTTGTAAGCTCACTTAACATAATTTTAAAGAATATTATGTTTCCATGCAAGTTAATGCTGCATTCATTTTCATTTTTAATCATTTGTCAACATGAAATAATTTGTATGTTTCTATTGTACAAGTGCATTAATCAAATTACAGTATTATTGAATTTAAATTTATTTTTAGTGTAGGTATAGAAGGTTAGCAGACATACTGAAAGCTTAAATTTCAGTGAATCTTCAATATACACGTCAGGCAAGCATAAAAGCTAATGTGTTTTCATTCTATTTATGAGATTAATAAAAAGCTGAAATTCTACTCTTTTCTGACTGCATGGCCAATTTCGATATTATTGTTAGATTTCTCAAAAATAAAAATGGCAAAAAAATTAAACTGTGTTAGTTGAATCAAGTCACAAATAATAAGTTAAACCAAACAGTCCATTTTCCTCTTGAGTACTTTACGTCGATTCTTTACAGATTTTAAATAGGATATATTTATGTATAGTATTTCAGAGTTTTAGAAACACTTTTCCAGATTAAAAAAGGCCTGGCATAGCCAGTTGGTTAGAGCGCTCAACTTACAGTCTGCGGGTTCGAATCCCCGTCTTACCAAATATGCTCGCCCTTTCAGCCGTGTGGACTTTTCATAGTACGATCAATCCCACTATTAGTTAGTAAAAGAGTAAATGAAAAATGGGCGGTGATTGTGATGACTAGCTGCCTTCCCTTTAGTCTTTCACTGTTAAATTAGGAACGGCTAGCGCAGATAGCCCTCGCATAGCTTTTCGCGATTTTCAAAACAAAACAAAAAAACCAAGCAAACTACATTAAAAATAAAATCAATAAAACAACAAAAACAAACAAATATGTACACATCTCATGATGGAGCTGCAATAGAGCACTAGTTCCTTGCGGAACTAAACTTTGGGATCGAAGTAAATTTTTATATTTGTTTAATTAATAGAGTTATAGTACAGGTAAAGTTTGTTTTTTTCGAATACAACGCACGAAAAAATAACAACGTGCCACAATGACGTCATTGCTATTGAGTCACATGGTATGGAAGTGGGCTTGTATTTGCTATCTATTGTTCACCTCACATGATTAGTAATTCGGGAAACCTTCCGTTTAGGATCAAACTAACATTATAATTCGTTAAATAGACTGAATTCACAGCACTAGTAGCTAAAAGTACCTGAAACGTTGACTTGTGTATAGCACAACAGTAGAGGAGAAAATTATTGTGGTAGCGTACGGAAATGATAAATTTTCGTGCAGTATAATGATTTTTTTATAGGTTTGAAGCTCGTTCATATTTCGGCAAACAACACAGACATTTTTTCTAAAAGCAGTCTGAATATGTTTTTAAATATAAAATAAATTTATTTAGGTATAAATTTTTACAGGATACAAAAGCCTAAAACTAAAAGTAAAACATGCACGTTACTCAGTTTAACTTAGAGTTAAACTTTAGGAGGTGATTGGTATAACTTAGTAATAATATTTATACATTTTTGTGATGTACTTACTTCTAGCAAAGAAAAACCTTAATTACGGACAAATATTCTTTAATTTCAATTAAACTTTTGTTCAAAGTTTTTGTTTGTTTTCTTAAAATAGGTAATCAAACTTGAAGTTGCATGGAATCAGTTTAATGTATTAAAATTGATATTTGAAATTTTGGATATCGGAATCGAAGGGAAATATTACTAAACATAGAAAAAGTTTTAACGGGGGAGAGGGCAACATTTTTTTTTTCCAGGGCCATTTGGTTTTTTTTTTTTTTTGGCGTCTTGCACGTGTATTATTTGTTTATGTAAACATGACTTTCTCCAGTTGGTGAAAATAACGATTCGTGAATTTTTTGTCTATTAAGAAATTGTAAAACTTGTACCTACACATTTTTATCAAGTGTAAGAGATACATAATAATCAACTTGAAGAAATAATTTTGCATAGAAAAAGTTAAGAAGTTCCAAAGATGAATTGGGCATTAAACTTGTATCTTACAAAACAAAATCCTAATTTATTCAAAACTTATGTTCCTCAGTGCACCTAAATATTTCTTCAAAATTAAGTTGTATTCACACGTGGGCTTGCTGAGGTAGTTAGTATAATATTTTTATTTATTTCTTGAAGATATTTGAAACGTATTATAACTTAACAGACTATTATAGTCAAGGTTTTCATGTTAAATCAGCAAAGAACAAAAATACAATTGTGAATATTAAGAATTCCCCTAAAATGAATAAAAAATATCCTTTTACCTTTTCTTTACTGTTTTATTAATTCTTAATATGAGGTGGAGTAAATTCAACACTGGTAAAACCCTTATGAATGGGTATGGTGATAAGCAAATCAAATTCTTGCAGGATGTAGCAATTATTAAAGCAGCTTACCTAACACAAATACTTATGTTTGTTTCTGGTGACATTTTTCACTTTATGAAGGCTTTCCTGTTTGTTTCTGGTAAAGTATTTGCTCATAAAAACTGTTTTATTGTACCTGGTAAAGTTTTTACTGATTAAATGCCCCACTACAAAGCAGAACTGGTATATGGGCTTACCCCTATCATTCCATCCATTTTTCCTGAACAGGATATATCAAGACTGGATAAATGGATTTTGGCTGAAAACTTCTATAACAGAGATGACATACAAATTTATAGTTCCAATTAACTTTTGAAGGTCATGGATCAAAAGTTAGGGTCGAGGAATATATGTTTTATAAACATAACTTGCACTTTTTTTTGTTTCTGGTAAAGTGCTTATCCCTCAACAACTTTGTTTTTGTTTGTGATAAAATAGTTACCCATTATTGTCTTTTTTGTTACTGATAAAATAGTTATCCATTATTGTTTTTTTTGTCTCATTCCTGTAAAGTGATCTATAAAAAGTAAAGTAGTCGTTATCTAAACCTTTTGTTTTCTTGATCCCAGTAAAGTAGTTGTTATCTAAGCCTTTTGTTTTCTTGATCCAGTAAAGTATTTGTTATCTAAGCCTTCTGTTTTCTTGATCCCAGTAAAGTAGTTGGTATCTAAGCCTTTTGTTTTCTTGATCCCAGTAAAGTATTTGTTATCTAAGCCTTTTGTTTTCTTGATCCTAGTAAAGTAGTCGTTATCTAAGCCTTTTGTTTTCTTGATCCTAGTAAAGTAGTTGTTATCTAAACCTTTTGTTTTCTTGATCCTAGTAAAGTAGTTGTTATCTAAACCTTTTGTTTTCTTGATCCTAGTAAAGTAGTTGTTATCTAAGCCTTTTGTTTTCTTGATCCTAGTAAAGTATTTGTTATCTAAGCCTTTTGTTTTCTTGATCCTAGTAAAGTAGTTGTTATCTAAACCTTTTTTTTCTTGTTCCTTGTAAAGAACTTCTCTGTTTCTGGTAAAGTCTTTACCAATCAATAGTTGTTCTAATTATTCCTGATACAAGTATTTGTCAATAAAAGTCAGTCTGTTTAGAACTTACACATAAATGTTATGGTGAAAGTGCTTGTAAGTTTTTATATTTAATGTCACACAGATGGTAATTACAGAAAGCAATTAAATATTCACATCAAACAGTGAATATCAGATCCAATAAATGTGTTTGTAGGATCCCTAAGTGTCGTATACTATTTTATTTATTGTTGCTTTCATTAATGATATTGGTTATCCTAGTTTGTATATCAAATACAATTAGTTTTTATTTTTATTTGTCATCATAATTTCATTATAAAGATTGTTTGGCACTGTT